CCTATTCTCTGGAGGGTACGGTTGTGCACCAAATAGACAAAAAGGCATGAAATAAAAACAACTGGCTTGAAAATAATTGTATTAAAGCCAAAAGTGGACATCATGATAGTACAAAATATATTGGTTTTATTATACATTGCAAATGAACGTTGTCGGCCTAAGGATTAATTACTTCCCCATTCTGTTTTCTATATAAATGTGTTTATTAATGATATATTTCACTCACTTAATCTATTACACTTTAATGTTTCGCCTTAGCACTTTAACTTTTCTAAAACAGCTTCCAATCCCTTGTAAACGTTGTACTTACCTCAATATTGGTTGGTTATCGTATGCCTACAACCACGGGATGAAAACGAAACGAAGTCGATTTTCCCGCTCAACCTGGAGGACAACTGTACAATTCAATAACTATACGGCCTGGTTCAGACAATGAGTGTAATTATATATATGTATCAAATATTTAACTGTTGAAACATTATTAACTTGTAGAAAATTTAAGATTTGACATTATAACATACTTGATCGTGCCTGTAAAAATGGCATGCATTTTCATGTAAATTTATGTTTATATGAATATATTATAAGGGATAAAACAATCAGAACAACACCAACAAACGGAAAACAATTCACAGCAAATTGGCAAAAGCGACAACGATACGATAAAACAACATGCAATATAGTTCAGCCCAGTTAACTAAAATGATACCAAAATCTTGGACTCACTGACTTGGGCCAACTTGAACATGTAAATCCAATAATATATAGAATTTTACTTATGAGTTGTTGTTAAAAGATACAAATGTCCACAAACTTTGTTATAGGTATTAGTAGTCAACAATAGTAAATCCAGAGTTTAAGCCTTCGAAAGTTAAAAGAATTCAATAATTTCCAGAACTTCCTGGTGAACAATAGCAAGGAAATTAGAGTTTTATAAATTACAGCAAAAAGTAACGCAGTGATCGAAAAGCGCGCACTGTGGCTTATGCCCATCCATGTTCCTCTACCCTGGTGTCATGGATATGCAAAGAGTCATTCGAAATGAGCTAGACTCCGTTAGGATGCAGGAAAAACTGGGTAACCGGGTAAAATTAACGAATACTGGGCCACATTTATCCCCACGCCAGTATCAGTTAGCGATTCCTGGTGATTATGATAAACCAATATCCTCCACAGAGAAACAGGTCTCATTCGTGTTCTACCCGCAGAAAAAAATGAATGCGAATGTCAGCCTCGTGCTAGTTAGCCAAGGACATCATAATTTTTTAATTTTTGCACAGGGGTAGGGTGGGGCACCTACCTACGCTATTCATGAGATTGAACAAAGAAATGTACAAGGGAAGACGAATAAAGATGTCACCAGATTGAAGTGCCGACCGTGAGATTAGTATCTCCAAAGACAACATATATATACTCTTAGATATTTTTGGTCTAGGGTATGAGTTAATAATCATCAGGAAAATAGTGTACAAAAAATCACTCGAAGACAGATACTGCAAGAAGAGCATTACGGTAACCCTACTCCGTTAACAGTAGAGAATCGCTAACTAGGAGACAACATTAAGATTCAATATCTTTCCCTTCAGCGAATGCTGCTTATGGTATTCACTTCTGGCTGACATGATCAACAAACGGTTAGTAGCTTTTTGGGAAGACCAGATCATTAGACAAAAACGGAAGGTCAACACCAGTCTATCGGTTTAGGTCTAGGACGACTGCTCTAGAAGAATAAATGACCAGAATTTAGTTATTTCGTAATTTGTTCCAACTCAGAGATTCTAGTTTTCTGTTTTATATACCCGTTCCAACTGCTATTTATTCAAACCCTTGTCCCAACTTTAACTACTTATTCACCTGCATACCTACCATTCATTCAACTGGACATTTATTAGTATTGCAAAAATTAGCATCAATCACACAAGGAGGGAAAGCGGAACGTGGGCTCCGTATGAGCGTGTACTTTGTACAGTGACAGAGATCAGAGTATGCGCGCCAAGCCCTCACAGAAGACAGTCTATTTGTTATCGCTTATATCAAGTCTTCATATGTGCACTGTGCGTCGGTGGAATAGTGGTTAGGACTCTCGCCGACCGTGCACATGGTCCGAGGTTCGATCGCCTGCCGATGCACACCTGATATCTATCGTCAGCCTGCAAAATTTGCAAACAGCGTGGAATCAAGCTGTGATCAAAAATAAATAAAACAAAAAAGTGATAGAAGTTGTGCCTTTTGCTCCACATAACGGACTCCTGGATGTTTTCCTGAAAGGAAGAAAACAAAGCAGTGTTAAATGCTGTATCTATAGTGGATTTTGGTTAGCTTCAGTATGTTTTCAGCTTGTCTGCAAACCTTCATTTCGCTTGGAAGTCCCAGAAGTTCATTGAATGAATTCTAGTTTTCCCTTCCTTTACTCTTCTCATCCACACTGTGGCATTCGAATCACTCAACGGATCAGCTCCTCTGCAAAACCTCATGAAACGAGCGTCAAGCTACTAGTAGGTTTACTTAAGGAAATCATAAGATAATGGATATTGGAATACCATGAATTGAGGCTTGTCCTGAAGGTCTGACTGTCCGTCATTTAAAAATGAGCGGGACGCCAGAGTATCCACTTGTTCTAGTAGTTGGAGCTGGTGGTATTGGTTGTGAACTGCTAAAAAACCTGGTCTATAATGGTTTTAACAACATAACCATTGTAGGTTATTATTTTGACATTTAATCATTATTTTGAAGGTTGACCTCGACACCATTGATATCAGCAACCTGAATAGACAATTTCTTTTCCACAAAAAACACGTTGGGCGGTCCAAAGCAGAGGTCTGAATAATGTTATTTTATATTTCTCTAACAGACGGCTAGAGATAATGTCTTGGCCTTTAAACCATCTGCTAACATCATCGTTTATCACAAAAGTATTTTTAGGTAATTTGGTTGTCAATTTCTTCTAATTCATCCTAGCTCCACATTTAATTCAACGTTTTTTGAGAAGTTTACTGTGGTTTTCAATGCTCTAGACAATCTTGGTAAGTGTGTTCCCTGCCTATATAATGTAACCCTAAATAATTTACTGTTCGTTCTGTTGACATGTTTTATATTCTCACTTTACAGTACAATTTAGGCGGAGCCTTACTATTGTCTAGTTCATGAATAATTCCCATTCGAACATTAGTAGACAAAAGACGAGTAGTTCAGCGAAGTCTCTTTTCGGCGAATTCATTTTCATAGCTGTACAATCGCAAATATATATGGTTATTTTTGTGTGTGTGTGTGTGTATACATTAAATTTGTCAAACGAAAATACAATTAGTAAGTTCAGATGAATTGGATGTTGATAAGAGGATAGTAACAAAAGCGATGAGTTGTCATAAATGATTGTTAAATAAGAGTTACGTAATGGCATGAATAGTTTAATGAATGAGTTGTGCTCAGGGTGTTAGCTTGTGCCCTCCATATAAATGTCGTGCTTGTTAAACTAGGAGTGTGGCTTCAGTAAGTTCATTTCAATGCTCATGTTACTTATACGGAGTAAGGATCGAATTTATTTTCCTACTAACGGATAAGATTAGAATGTCCTCACTAGTTCTAGCAACCACTAGTGTAGTTATGGAATTTCAATCTTAGTGTATTAGTAGTGCTGATCATAACATTCTGCTGTACATATGCTTACTGCTTAATTATTTAGATGTTAAAGTAGATGGCGACTATGAAGAGTAGACACCACACTCAAGATTCGATGGCAACAGTCAGTCAGATCGTTTACCACTCAATGTGGATTTATTTATACAAACTGGTTTTTCCGCAGGAAATTGTCCCAGATTCTCATAATTGTTGTTTATTAACGGAATAAACCAGTTTCCATACATACATTTGATTTGAAGGATTGATGGTATGACTGGTTAACCGAAAGTTGTTTGGACGTAGTATCTGTTCTTTACAGTTTCTTTTTTTGTGTCCACCGTAGTCTCTACCACATTCTATCTGACTATCGTATTACCTACTAATATTTTCTAAGGAACCTAATTGAGAAGGCAAACTATATGCGAAAGTAATCAATTGTGGTTATTATTTTCCGTAATTTCTCTTCTACTTAGTGTTAGATACTTGTAGTAGGTGAAGAATAATGCTCCTGTTACAAAAATTCCTCACTGTTGACTATGCATAGTGATATAAAACTGATGCAGATTTACTAACAGGATGAGCTTGGTAAAGTTGTTATGCTGGTTATATAAGAGTAGTTGCATCCTCCGTAGAGTAGGAAACTGTACATATAATGGCTATTTAGTAGCATGAATATACAGTATGCACGTTTATATTTGGACATTTGCCTGGCTACATCTTGTGAATTATTCATACATCAATTTACTGTGACAAAATGTTATTAGTATACATTTTAGTAAGATTAGTCGGACCATAATTTTAAATACGTTTTTTCCTCTTGTCAGCATAAAGCTTCTGATACTTCACTATCACATAGCGTACCATCTCACAGTAAAATATATATTGTTTGCGCAATACATTTCATGACATTATTCACTACTTTTCCTGAGATGAGGCATTAAATACAATGAGAAAGTAAATCCCCACAGTTAAGTGGCTCAGCGTTTGTGCGGTTTTTATACCATGTCCCTACAAAATTCATGCAGTAGGCCGAAGATAAAATTTACTGGTTGTGCTGTACTTTTACTTAAAACATTGTCTCTCTGGATAGTTTGCTTTAAAAGGTGTCAGTTTGTTGTATTCCTATGGCATTAAATACATAGTTGCTTCGAAATCTTCCTTCATTTAATTAGCATGATGTTAATATTTAACGTGGTTATGGGTGAATAATCTCATGTCATGACGTGCTTACAAGTTGACAGCTAAGATACAACATCACATGGAGTAATATATTGTTTAAAAAAATAGAAAAGTGGCTACCAGTAACACAGGGCTTAGAGGATATAAAGACAATAGGAATTTTTCCAATTCTTCAATATCGTTGTATAATTGCGTTTAGTCGTAGGCGTCACTGTTACCAATAAATGGTATTTTATTATTGAGGATTTGGTAGAAATTTGTTTGTCACTTTGGATTTAAGTAATAATCCACAAGGCTGTGCAACAAATAACATTCTTGCACTAATAAAGGGATTGTTTGCTCAAAATATCCTAACTTTGTGCAGCTTTCGTGATTTTAAAAAGTGATGCTTCTTATGTTAGATTTCCAGTCTTGTAAGTAACAAATAGTTGCGTTAACCACTACTACTATTCTAAGGCATGTATGATGATAACGTGTTTGTCTGTCTGTCTGGATTCAACATAGAGCTTGGCATCGAAGGGCAGCGGTTCGAGTGTGTGGAGCCGTAAAGTCAGTTGATTTTTTTTATTCCTACCAAACGATATCACAACTTGCCAATAGATTCTAACCGAATAGAACTGTTTGAAAAAAATCTATGCCTCAATTCAAGCTGACCACCTTCACCTTCGATGGATTCCACAACCAGGGGACAATGAACCGTTCGTAATAACTCCCCAAGCCACAGAGGCTGATAAAAGTGGTCATTATCCTTGGTGATTTATTGACAAGTCCAATAAATATATTACTTTTAATCACCGAAGAGTCCCTACATATGTGACGTCATCTGGAATAAAACATTTTTTTATTATTTCATGTCTGATTATTAAATTACATTTATCCTATATTTTACGCTGACAGCTGCACGAAAACATGTTAATCGTATGTGTGTATCGGCAAAGATTCCTTTAGTCGAATCCGGCACTGCTGGTTACTTGGGACAAGTTGAACCATTGCTTCCTGCCATTCGAACAGAGGAGTCATCAAATTCGGATGGTGTCTTAACTTGTCGTACTGGATGTTATGAATGTCAACCTCGTGGTTTAGGTCAACGTCACTTTCCTGCTTGTACTATACGTAATACACCGTCTGAACCAATCCATTGTGTTGTATGGGCAAAATATTTATTCAAGTAAGATAGTATGTGCTGAGTTTTACGTTACTAAAGGATAAAAGATCTTTTTTTCAATGCAATCGGTGTTTAGGATGGTGATTTCTCATCTTGCTGTGGTCGATTGTATGAACTATTTTCCACAGGCACTTTATCGACTTTTTCGTCTTATATTCAATACGTTGTTGCAGCAGGTGAAGCTGTGCTTCAGCCAGTGTAGTTAATTTACTTTGATCAGCTGTGTAAAACGTGTGACAACCCGTGCTGAAGTTTGGACAACATTTAGTATCACTAAGCCCCATGCGATATTTCACGAACATGCATATACCTATTGAGTTGTAGTGAATAGCGATGAAAAGGCATGAATGTATCACTCTGCATACTATTAATTGATTGACATGAGTTGGACACCAGTCAAGTCAATCAGTAGTGCTTGCTAGCCATCCATATCGCGGTGATCTAAACACCGAACAGCCTTTTTTCTACATCGATTAAGATGGCTAAGACACGTGCTGTTCACACAGAGACACCTTCCTCCAAGCGCAGTGGTAGCCGATTGGAAAATAGTTAGAAGCGGTTAAGACAAAACCTGGGAGCAGTCCATAAAGTTTCGCCTGTTGGCATGAGCCAGCCTCATAGGGCGGTGTCGACTGCGTGTTTGTGGTCCTTGGAATGCTACGAACCAATTGCTGGAGACAAATAGCGATATGGCTCAAAATCGTTCTCAGTGTCGCAAATGCACGCTGTTTACGATCTTCCATATTTCTTAAACTGTCATGCTTTTCCATGTTACTATTGTTTCTCCCTCACATTTTTTTCATTACAGTTCTTTTCAATCTTTTTCTCTCTCGTTTGCTTACCTTTGTGTGTTAAGTGCAGTGTTGTAGTATGAACTGTTGTACTTTTTTGCAAAGTTCTATGTTGAAATGCAATCGTTCAACTTTGCACAACTGTTAGCTGGGTATGTAAATATTAGTAAGCAATCGTGGTCAATTTATTTTGAAGCTGTATTCACATCTCGGCATGTTTCAGAAGTTATTTTACCTCATATAGTTATATCTCCCTTTGTCTTTAATTGAACTTAAAACAGTTAAAAAGTCTGTTGAACATTTTTTTTATTTTCACATATAAATTAAAACTTTTAGCCAGTTATTTGGTCAGTCGGATGTCGACGATGAAGACATCTCTCCAGATTTCTCAGATCCAGATTTACATCACAATAATAATAGTAATCATAGTCAGAGTGAAGTAAAGTTGCCTACGAGTAGCCCCACCACTGAAGCCAATGATACACATAATTCGGATGGCTTGAACAATTCAGGCTTAAATAAACCTAGTCAGTTAACCCTAAGAGAATGGTTTCGACAGTTGTGGTCTAACAAAGCTAATCATTCTAACTCAACAGATAACGAGTTATCATCTACTGCTAGTAGTTCACTGGCTTGGAGATTATTTCATCGTGATATTGTCACTTTGATCGGTATGCGTGATCTATGGGTAGATCGTCAGGATCGTCGTGAACCAAATCCATTGGAGATGTCTACATTGAAGGAGGCAATAAACTACAACTCAGGTAATCATTAAATTTTGACTTAGTGTTTTTCTTCTGTAAGTATCCTTTTCAGAATGACATACTTCACTTGTCAAATCGACCTAACAAGGTAATTTTCACGTCTAAGGGTGAGATATCTAGTTCCTTTGATTTAATGTGTATAGTTATCATTAAAACACAAACTTGGTTTACTATAGGCACCAAGAGATGTGGTATACAAAACGTCATAGTTTGTACGAGGGTTGGACCGTAGCAGGTGGTTGTCTTATGGGACCACCCCCGCCGAGCCCTTGACTTGAGGTTTTATATACAAGGCAATGGAGCTGTATCAGGAGCTGGGTTCCCATGGTTGTCGGTGACCAAGGCAGGTTGATACGCCATTCTATCCTTTCGGATTGTGGGGCCCATGCATACACCATAGGTTTGGAATCAGGGTTTCCCAGCTCCCATAAGTAGACCTGTATCTGCAGCTCATTGGTGTAGGATCTGGGGTCAGAACTTTGCAGCATCTACTTAAGGTTTAGACAGCTAGGTAGTATTACAAGATGTCACAAAATAGGTGTGTCTAATTGTTTAGCTACATGGAAGTGCAAGTGACTTTTGAATCACATTTAATCATTTTTTCCTTTGATTTAATCATGTAGTGATCAGGATATCACACTGGACTGCTTTGTAAACATAACTTTTTACTTGATTTCTATTGGCATCGTCGTATGCACTTTTCAGTTGTATGCTTTGATAAACGGCTGTTGAGAACTGAAATATGCTGAAGTGTTTGTTTACTGTTTCCACTGATAGAATCAACGACTAGGGCCTTAGCGAAGAAAAAGAAATTGATTGTTTGATTATCTTGACATGCATACTTGTCGTTCAAGAAATTTTTTTTGTTCCGAATAGAATCATAGGGTTTCACACTTTCAAGTTTAAGTAGTGGTAGTTTTACTAGCAACACTCCTAACCTTCCCTCTTATCGGGATTACTACCGGCCAAGTGAGGTTTTGGCATGCGCGTCGACCAAGAATCGAACGCGGACCCCTCATGGCTGGCGAACATTCTACCAAGAAATAAAAGATCGTAATTTTTATTGTAAAGTAATCCTGTTGTGAATAACACACCGCTTTTCAATTCAGCTCTCTACCTTCATGTTCAGCTGCCTACACGACTGCTTACTAGCTACATATGATCTTGCCAAGTTACTGCTGGACACCGATTTGACTTCATTCGACGGTCTAGCACGTTATTTCACTCAATGGTCTCCTCAGTATAGATCTAATTCATCTCCACTTCCTTCTGCTCATTTGTTGGACGATCCGTTGTCGTCCGGATTATTCCCCGTCCCTTGTTGTTGACTGTTTTTACCATATGATCTTCAGTTTCCGGTGAAGACAGCTGTTGATGAAAGCTTGTGGTAACTTGTTGGAGGTGCTTTTGGGTGATGCGCTAAGCCTCTGAACCATGTAGGAGCACTATATGACAAATAGTAACAATCCAGGAGAATGGAGAGTAAAGTCAGTGCAGTAGACACCTGTTTCATTATTGTGTGGGTCTTTCCATCAGTTCATCAGCATAACTCTATGAGAGCTCTAATTCAGGAACGTTGGATTTGGAGGAGACCAAGTGACTACTCAGCCAGTGGACTGGGTTCCAACAGCCTATGAATTCCTGTCAGTTGTTGGGGCAATGCCACCGCCAACCGATGTTATCTGTTAATATCTGTCCCAATACTGGACACAGGGTTCCTCATCGAATATAGCCTAGCATTAGAAATTTAGGAAATATATCTTACAACTCGTCGCTAATGACGTCGTCAGGTGTCAGCCGCACCGTAATGTGGCCTTACAACCTTTATTTCTTGAACTGTTGTGTTCCAACCCTTTGGCCATATAGTAGTTTACTCACATCTGCCTTGGATTCAGTCTGTAGAAAGATGGTTGGAAGTCACGTCAGGCCACTTCCTATTTCTCGATAGGTTCACTATGTAATATTAATACTTGACGGAATCTGCTTCGAAATCAATGGGATGCCAACAAACTAGAAATAGTGTTATACTTTATATATAATGGAGCAGATTTGTAGCTCAGGTGGATGATTTTGATGTAGTTGTGTTCTCTGAACTGGATGTTTTACTTGGGAAAATTTCTATGCCTTATTAGGTAACATCTTCAGTGCATACTTCAATTTGAAGTGAGCTTTTAGATTTCTCCACGAGTTTATTAGTCATCTCTCCTAGTGACCTTGAGTGTGGTTGGCTGCTCTTGCCTGTTTTCACACCCTCTAGGCTACGTGTATTAGTATTGATTGTTTCCTTGACCTGAAGTCTTATCCTTTGTGTATGTGAGATTCCCTTCTTATCGATTGGCGAATTTTGCTTATGTCAGTGAGCCTGTTAATTGCTGATTCACTAGAATACCAGGCTTCAAAAATGGCTCTGGTGTTTCCTCTGTCGAATATTTGAACGTTGTCTCAGTTGAATTGATGTACATGGTCGTCTGTATGCAGCGATTTGAGGGAGTGGATATCATGTCTTTTGACGGCTATTTTATGGACATGGATACGAAGACGAAGAAGGTGTCCACTTTGGCCAATGTAGTATTTATTTGCGATCGTCACCATTTATTTTGTAGGTGATGTTGGTTTTATCTTTTTCCTCTGTTACGTCTTATGCTTAACACAGATCTGAGTGAAGTGATTTTGTCGGTTTGTGTGCGACATCAATTCCTAAAGGTTTGCATAGTCTTGTTGTGATTTCTGAGACACTCTTTATATACGGCAAGATGATTTTCTTTGTGCTTTCCTTGGGGGTCTTCGATTTGGTTGCTTGGCTTGGAGGTAGGTGTTTTTTAATGAAGTTTCGTGGATATATATTTTTTAGGGGATGTGCATGAGATATTTTTCTTCAGATTTCCTTAAGACAGGAGTCTGTCTGTCTGTCTTTTTGATATAGAACTTTGCACATATGTGCGCCAGTTCAAGTCGCCACACTCCATGCAACACACAGCTAGAGAAGAAAGTAAAAGAAATGATTATTAGAGACAGTAAACAGAGGTGTGAGACAAAGGAGTAGTAATAACGAAGAACAAAACAGTTTGATTGGAAATCATAAGTCACAAGAAGTGGATGCATTTGCGCCATTGAGAGTGATTTTGAGCCATGTCACCAATAGTTTTCAACCATTGGTTTTTACCGTCCCGAGGACCCCAGCCAGTCAGGAAGTCTACACATCCCGACGTGGCTGGCTTAAACTAACTGTGGGGGATTTCATTGACTGATGAGGCCATGTTTTGGTTTGGCCGCCGCTATCTGTTTTCCAACTTCTTTTTATGTCAGTCAGCTAACATTGCCCATTGTCGAGGAAGGCGATGACTAGACATACGTAACACATGTCCTAACCATCTCAGTCGATGTAATTTCACAGCCTCGTCGATTGATTTCTCCTTCCTCCTAACCTAGCACTCGACGCCTAGGTAGGAGTGGTTCGATTGGCCCTGGTTCTCTTGGATAATGTTCATATGCAAATCTTTTTGTGTCTGGGTCTAATTCCTTTAAACTTGAGTTTTTAATTTTCCTGTGCTTTTTCGCTTGGATAAGACGTCCAAAACTGGAATTTTGTCCTTGGACACCTCTACTCTTGTGAATGTGGTGTCGTTGAAGATGTCGCATATTAAGTTGTCGTAGTCGTTGCTTTTAGTTATCGAAATGTGTTACCCACGTAACGTATCCAAAGTTTTGGTTTGATCTTCGGTAGAATTATTTTTTCAAGTCTTTGCATCATGGCTTTTGCAATCAGACCTAATATGGATGTTCCATTAATTTATTCATATATTTGGCCGTTGAATTAAAAACAGGTTGTTAGACATAGGTTTATGCATTCCATCCAACTTTTTTGTTGCATTTTTGAGTGTTGTGAGAGGCGTTCGTCGTTGTAAAGTAACTGCCCCATGGTTTATTTTGCTAGTTTCTATCTAATCGAAGTATATAATGCGGTGATATCGAAGGATACTATTATTTCTTAGTCGTCTATTTGAATGCCTTTGATTTTCTTCACAAATTTGGTTGCGGATTTGATGGAGTGATCGCAGGATTCCGTTAAGTGTTTCAATTTTCTGTACAGTTCTTTGCATAAACTGTTTGTTGGGGTTCCTGGGAGTGATACAGCTATAGATTGAATAGTTATTGATAAATCCTGTTCAACCTTTATATGGGGTACCTTGTCAAATTAATTTTAATTTTGATTATAGCTTGATTCCACACCGTATTTTCGGTACAAGTATGAAATTTTCAGCACGTGATATCAGTAGCCTAAATTCGCAGTCCAACCATTGATATCAGGTGTGCGTCGTCAGGGAATCGAACCCTGGACTATGTGCATGATTGGCGAGAGTCCCAACCACTGTGCCACCGACGTATATATATATATACAAAAAACGATTTCTTGTTTACTAGTTTATTTCTTAAAAGGATCTCCTCCTTCTCCTTGTCTTCTACAAGAATCGTCATGTTCATCACATGACTCATCGAATTTTTATGAACTACGAGATCAACGTAAATTGTCCATATCTGGTTGGCTTGACATCTTCTTGAATTCGGTTGAGAAATTACAAAAACGAGTAGAAGATGGCGGTGGAGACAAGTTTTTAGTATGGGATAAGGTAAAAAAAAGGTTTTTGGTTATCAGAATTAACTCGTTTTTATAACGGCATCCCGTTTTTTAGCCAATTTTTTTTAAGCTTATCAGATTTTATATAATTATTGTTGTTATTCGCATGGGTTCCTAATGGAACATTGTGCTTTTGCAGCAGCACATCACCATTTCACTCTGTTCTCTAAATTCTACTCTAGCTTCTGGCTCAACGATTCCTCATAAACTCTCATTTCTTTTTAATTCATGCGAATCTCATCAAATTCTCATTCGAGTTTCACTCAAGGTGCTTTCCTCGGATATGATGCTATTCAACGATTCAATCTACAGCGATTTTCTTCCGCATGTTTCACTGCACTTGCCAGAATTTTTGTTTTTGGTTGGCCATCTGATCTTTGGTATCGAGCGAAGTCAGATGTTGACGAAAGTTTGCAGTGGCATGTCATAGTTTAGTTTCCCTGTAAACCTGCGTTGTTGGAAAGCATTCTAAAATTGCTGCATGTTGTTTTTTTTCTCAGGATTGATGTGGATTCACGTTTTCCTCACAATCCCCATTAATAACCACTAATGATTCATCTTCTTCTGATCTCAATCCTAGAAGACTGAAGTGTTAATTCAACTATTATTGTAGCCGAGTGATGATTAAGGCTGAAATAAAAATCTGGTTTGCAGCAGAATCCCAAACCGTGACCTGTGAGCTATGTGTTGCGAACCGAATGTTAATCAGGTAGTTATTTCACTGCAGTTATCACGTACAATACCCAACTGTGTTGTTGTTAGGTGAATAAATGAATAGTACGTTACTGTCCGTTTGAGAACACCACACTAGTTGTCCATCTACTTGACAGCCGACCACTTACGCGGGATAACTGCAATAAAACTGTGGTTAACAGTTACGTTTTCTGATTGTCAGTGCCTTCTAATCATAATGACTCAACACGTTAGTTGAGTTGACCGAGTTAACATTTGGCGTACTTTCATTAATACAAGGTTGTACAACATGATGATATCTGTTTTTTCTGGTTTTGTGACTATCGCTGGAATCCAGGATGCGCATGTCGTCCTAAATAGGATTTATGAACTTACCGGTGAGTGACAATCAAGCAAAGTTAGTTGGCAGGAAATGCAAATTAATCTCTAAACGAATGATGATATCCATCGCTATTATTACTGAGACAAATTCCGTACATTATGGGCTTCAAGTGATGCACTACACAAAACCTAATGGTTTGTGAGAGGTCTGGGGTACCGCTGGAACGCACAAACTGGGGCGGGTGGTTATCTCAAGGGTCCATCCCACTTCCAGACTTTAACTTGACATCTGACCCACGAGGTAGTGAAGCAGCGTTAGGGGCTGCTTTGCCATGGTATTCAGTGACCAAGACAGGTTGATACGCCATTCGATCCTTTCGGATTTTAGAGCATATCTACATTATAGATTTGGATTCAGGATTTTTCGGATCCTATAGGTAGAATAGTACATCCACCAGTCCGATTATGAGTGACGCGTTTTACCTTTATGAGAAACACCCTCTCCGCTTTAAAGGCAGTGCATAGAACTTACCCGGCAATGCCTACGAACGCGTGGCGACATGTGAGCATTTCGAGAGAAGGACCGAAATCTACCGACCCTTGGCCGTATCACGTCGTTTATGTGGGTGGATTCAGTTTTACAAAATGACTATCATCTCAACGTATTGCAGTATGCATCTATAACATTAACATTTACTATGGATGAGACCGGTAGTCTACAACCTGCAACTGTCGAAGTTTATGGTTTGAGTTTTTTTCCAAACCATTTAGGTATATGTTCCCTCGATCCTGGCCTGCAGATCGCAGTTATTCCTCCCTATGTATATGCATCTACAAACATGCATGTAAACTGGTGTACTACAATATTGATTGTGACGTTTTCACATCCCAATCACTATTTATTTTCAGATTCCCACACATCCGAGAGAATTTTGAAACAGGCTTAGTTTTCATACATATTGTTTTATTTCAGGATGATCAAGAGGCTATGGATTTTGTGGCATCCGCTGCTGTCATTCGTTCACAAGTGTTCCACTCACCTGGTGCTGATCAACTCACTCGATTTACAATCAAATCTTTAGCCGGGAATATCATTCCTGCGGTGGCGTCTACAAATGCAATAGTCGCTGGGCTAATGGTACTTCAAGCCAGACATATTTTATCTAAACATTACGAGGTAAGTTGTTTTGTTATCTTTTATTTTATTGATCTGTGTATGTTTGTATGTACCTTCCCATTTTCCAGTGATTGATAACAAGGTTTTCAGAGCTTCGAATTTTTTCTGTTTAGACATGTCGATTTAGATGTACAACTGATGGGTATTTATGTCAGGAGTAACAACTGGTTAGTAGTCGGCTGATAGGGTGACCAGTAGTAGAATCCGGGATGTCTTATTTTGAACTAGTTGGATGGATATACCTGCATCCATGCGGGAAACAGTGTTCTCTCTGAGAATTGTTTCAAACTCCTTAGCATTATCCACGACTTTTTAGATAATAATGATTTGAGTCACTAATTTATGCCTAAATGGTACATACAACAGAGTTAAACTGGTGAATTCTCACCTTGGGTTGTAAAAGATCCCCTTAAAATATCTGAAAATACTATATTAAGTATCACAAAAGACTGATTTCTCAAGTCTCTTAATGATTGAAAGTTATTGTTTATTTAGCTAATTGTCTGTCTGTTTTTGGAAGCTAATTACAGCGTTTTTAGACTCGTGATCATATTATATCACAAATCCTCATATGGGTGCGATGGCTGCTACCTTGACGTGGTAGTCGGGCTTCCATATCTCAATGATGCGATAAGCTACACTGGCTGAAACTGATGTCCCTACAAGTCCTACCATACCAGGTAGGTAACATGACTGGTAATATAATTGATATGTATCCACATATATATATTTATGTGTGTGTGTGCATGTTGGTCTCTCTTTCTGTTTGCTCGGTTAGTCTGTGACCACTTCACTTGTATGGACCTGTCTCCTTTGATAATGTGTATTCTCCTTATATTATATTATATATAATATGAGTGTTTGTTGACAGTCCGTTGCTTGGTGACATATATCCATATATGTTTGTTGGCATGTCTGCTATATTCGCTATGTATAATTGGATCGACACTCCATTATAATTAGCCATTCATGTTAAGACTGTCTAATGATTTTTCCCACGCTTTGTCTGAATTATTCATATATATTCGCATTCACAATTTGTGTGACTACTTTACAACTACTTGACTTGCTTACCACTTTGGTGTGAGACCCTTTTATTTTCGTCTCCTTGTGTTTGGACAATAGAAGTATCATCGCAAACCTAGTGGTCTTCTGATTTCCGCCTTCTCGCGTCAGGACTATTAGTTTCTCGACCAGTCCATAACAATAATTCAGCGACGAGTACATAACAATTTGGCGACGGAGAAGACTAGTACATAACAATTATCTAGATACATACTGGACAATGGCCACAGATTGCGTTTCACATGTGTAGTTTTGACTTAAGAGAATAGATCGTCGTTTGATTTCTTCATGCTTCCAGTACTATTCTCCAGGAAATTCTTAGACATCCTCTCAACTTTGCATTAATCACAAGTGACTTAAACCTGGGAGATATAATAAAGCGTTTTATTTTTGAAGTTTTTATTTGTGAGCTGATCATATGTAGTTAACAATGTTTTCCCTCTAATATCCTTTTCTTTTCTAGCGTGTACGCACCGTCTACCTCCATCGTCAACCAACTGGTCGTCGTGGTAATCGTCGCCTTGTTGTCCCAGTGAAACCTGCACCACCAAATCCCTCTTGTCTGGTGTGTAGTGATACAATCAAAAATTCCCAGCTACGCTTAGTCTGTGCACCAGAAATGCTCACCCTGCGTATTCTACGTGATCGTATTCTAATCCGACATTTAGGCATGTTAGCGCCAGATGTAGAACTGTCTGATCGTGGTGTTATTTTGATATCAAGTGAAGAGGGTGAAACAGACGAAGGTAGGTAGTTGTTAATCGTCAGTAAATAATTTTCTGTTTTTTTACTCTTTTGCTCTTTTTTTCTGACTCATGAGATGTCACATATTGGCTTTAACACTTGGTTTACAGCCGTTGTGTCATGGGTTCGAGTCCCACTCCACCACTAACTTCAGCCTGGTCAACTGGGTAGTATCACCAGCCCTCTGACGACACGTCTAGCTCTTAGCATGTTCCTGACTTCTAAGTATCTCAGATGAGATCAAGTTGTAATTATACGAGGTTCTACATAGTTCGTGTATATTCCTCTGATGACTATGTTTTTGTTTTATAAACATTTTTTATTGATGAGTCATGCTCTCAGTTTAAATACAATTAACATAGATTTTTCCATGCTACATGAGTAGTTGGATACTACGCATACATCAACTAGTAGTGTTCTCTAGAAGTGACCTAAGCACTGGGTGGTGGTTTTTACTCGTTTGTAGCTGAACCCATCGACGGTGTATCCGGAGCCGAATAACTTGAAACCATATGAATTCTGGTTGGCGGCCAGCTGCTACTTGAACAAAACGGCTGTCCAGTGTTTAGACCACTGGCTGGTAAACAGTACAAGTTGATGTGAATATTATCCAGCTACTCATCTTTATCAGTATTACATGCCTCCGTGCTCTTTTACCTGCTTTCTCGATTATATCATTTGTGGTATCAAGCAGACGATATACATTGTTTACAAAGGAAAGTGTGTTGAGAAATTTCACTTCGTACTAACTAATGTCCAATTAAAGCATCCAATACAATCCTACAGGAGGTCAATCACGCCTCTGACTGCTGCAATGGGTGACGCCAGTTTGAATCTCAGGAGAAACATGAGTCCTTTCAAAATTGCAGATACGCCTTGTTGACTGACGAGTGCCTACTAGCACGAAACCTAGGTCTGAGGCTTCCTGCCGATTGCCTCCAGCCATCTAATATCAATAAATCGTAGGGTATTTCGAAAATTTAATTCAATAAATTCTCTTAGGTTGAAATGCATGTATGCGTCGGTGGCACAGCGGTTAGGACGCTCGCCGACCATGCACATGGTCCGGGGTTCGATCCCCGACCGACGCACTTCTTTACCTCGCTAAGCCAGAAATAATGCTGGTAAAGAGGAAAGGTTGGGCATGAGGCTAGCAACCCCACTCCCGGCCGATAACTGCTACCTTGTCGTGGTGGTCGGGCTTGAATACCGTAACGACCCAACATGCTAAACTGACTGGGACTCTGTCGTGTCATGTCAGGAAGGTTGTTGGATAGCGGTGAAACTAAAAGCAGTTACCATGGGGTACATGGGCTCCAGTATCCAATCGGATCAAATGGCGTATGAACCCATATGGGTCACCGGAAACCATGGGAATGCAGCTCCTGACGCTGCTCCGCTGCCTTGCAGATTAGACTCCAAGTCAAAGGCTCGGGGGGTGGTCCCCTAATAAAATCACCTGCTTCGGTTTGGGCACCCGGGCAATATCTCAGCCCTCAAACAATCAATGAAACTTATAGCGTGCTATTACACAAGTTGCAGTTTCCTTCTTTCTTCCCTTCCCGATGATAGTTCACGAATACTGTTTGAACTTGTTAAGCATGACTGTTTTCCTTCCAGAAGTTCTTTATGGTTCTCTATTTATATATATATATTCTCTTCTTTCTTTTTTCTTTTGATCTATGTTGCTTTATTATTATTGTGTGGCGCATCCTTCTAGGTGCCATATTGTACCAAGTTTTTATGCGTCTAAATAAATAAATAAAATAAACACTGCTACAGAAACTTCAGGCCACTAGCTTGAAGCCCTGTGTTCCACTGGGGAACGTGAAGGAAAAATTATTATTATCAGGTTGAAATGCATCTCATTAGAGATATTACTTACTGGCTTTCAGCCACTGACTCTTGAGATCAAATCCCATTCCCCTGGCTTCATTCATCTTGGACACTTGAGCAGTAATATCATTAGTCCTCGTACGATGGTACGGCTCATATAACTAACCTGAATTATAGAAAATCTCTCTTTCAGATGACTGAGTCCGAACTGTAACTAACTGAATTACAGTAATTGTAGTTATAGGAAGATGACCATAAACCTGTCAACAAGCCATCTTATTCTTAATGAAGACCGTGTTAAGATTTAGTGAAGGATACTGTAGATCGGTGTAATTGATAGCTGCATATGCCAGTTTACGCCGTCTCTGGCTTAGTAGACGTGATATCCGACTGGCTGCCGACCAAAGGGCAGGTGTACTGCTCATCAGTCCGCTCCGTCCTCCTTTATGGCTGTGAACGAGACCTGGCCACTGAGAGTGGAAGACATGAAAAGACGGGTTAGCTGTCTTTGATCATATGTGTCTGCGTTCCATCTCCCGTGTGAAATGGTATAATAGAGTGAGCAATACTGAGGTTAGACGTCGAGTGCTAGGTAAGGAGGAAGGGGAAATCAATCGACGAGGCTGTGAAATTACATCGACTGAGATGGTTAGGACATGTGTTACGTATGTCTAGTCATCGCCTTCCTCGACAATGGGCAATGTTAGCTGACTGACATAAAAAGAAGTTGGAAAACAGATAGCGGCGGCCAAACCAAAACATGGCCTCATCAGTCAATGAAATCCCCCACAGTTAGTTTGAGCCAGCCACGTCGGGATGTGTAGACTTCCTGACTGGCTGGAGTCCTCGGGACGGTAAAAACCAATGGTTGAAAACTATTGGTGACATGGCTCAAAACCACTCTCAATGGCGCAATTGCATCCACTTCTTGTGACTTATGATTTCCAATCAAACTGTTTTGTTCTTCGTTATTACTACTCCTTTGTCTCACACCTCTGTTTACTGTCTCTAATAATCATTTCTTTTACTTTCTTCTCTAGCTGTGTGTTGCATGGAGTGTGGCGACTTGAACTGGCGCACATATGTGCAAAGTTCTATATCGAAAACAGACAGATAGACAGACAATTGATAGCTGTCAATTCTTATGGTTAAGTAAAAGTAAATATTACTAGATGGTCAGAAAAACGCGTAGGTCACCAGAAAATATTCTTTTCGTAACTTCACTTCAAATCTGTACATTTGCTTATATAGTGTTGTTAAAGGTCAGGGAATTGTCTATGAGGTCAGTTGTTCATACGTAATCTAAATACAATGAGTGATCAGTAGTTACCCCTCAGAAATGATTACCATTAAAAATGACAATCGCTTGGAAACAAGAACATCACTCAAAAGGGTTAGAGATTCAGAATATGTATTGTATGGAGCATATTTTAAATTTGGGAGTTTGAAGGGAAAATTAAGACGAAGGACTATGGATTGCATGCTGAGTTGCTGTATGAATTAAGAAAAGAAAGGATACTGTAATAAGAGGGGACCGGATAAATTGCTTCTGTATTTGGAGTTCAGGGTGTATCTTTGTGTATAGCCAGCGCTTCTGCCTTGGTGCTTCAATGTCTCAGCGGTTGAATGCTTACCAATCATACAGTAGGTCCAGGTTTGATTCCCAACTGACGGACTCTTAAATCACGCCTAACTGGTGGTGTAGTAGTTTTCTGAAAATAAAACGAGGGTTAGGCTTGTGAGGTTGGCAAATCCATCCCGTAGAAACAACACCACTGCTATTAGAAATTCAAAGCTTGAAGCTCTTTGTCTCACTCGGATTGTAAGGAATCGAAAGATATGATCAGTGCTTCACTGCCTGTCAAATACCATTCAGCTATACTGTTGTCAGGGACACGGAATAACCACCCTCCATTGTCTAGCGTTTTAAGACGAAGTACACTGTGATGATTATAGCCTAGTCTTACTCTCTTTTGATTTTGATTTTGATTACAGCTTGATTCTACACTGTATTTTTGGTACAAGTATGGAATTTTCAGCATGGATATCGGTAGCTCAAATTTTGCATGCCGACCATAGATATCAGGTGTTCGTCGGCAGGGGATCGAACCTCGAACCATTTGCATGGTCGGCGAGAGTCCTAACCACTGTGAAATACGAGATTTCTATGCTTTTATGCAACACTCAGGTGTATCAAGTTTAGAGGAGGGGGCAATGTTATAAAGACTACCCTCAGATCTATTCATTACACACTATATATATATATGCTTCTTTGTTATTCAATTATTTTAGATACATTGAATAAAACTCTTGGTGAGTTCAATGTCACTCAGGACACATGTTTGCAGTGTGATGACTTTCGTCAAGACTTCACTGTGCGCCTTATTGTATCTTGTGCTAGTCCAGAGTTAGCAAATGCACTGCCAAACAATTTATCGTCATCAAACAACAGTCTACCTATACAACAACAGCAGCTCGATAGTGATGATCAGTTTGAACAATGGCGTATTTTAGGCAATGTGGATTCAGTGCTAACAAGTGTCAAAGGCAGTAATAGCAATAATTCAGCAGCATCATCGTCCATACCTGAAGAAATTATGATAATGAATGGAAATGTAGCTAAGCACGAAGGTAATGAAAAGAAAATGTTTTTAAAGTTTCCCCCAAACATCTTGGTAAATAAAAATTGTTTAGAGTTATAGATGATTTAAACAAAACCTTTTGCCTTCATATATATATATATATATATCGTTATGTGTTATGATTCCATTGGGTTCGAGTGGAATATAGGGCTTCAACAACACATGTCCACTATGTTTCGTTTTCTCCTGTCCCCTTTAGCTGGACCCATGATTGCCCAAACTCTCCATTCTCCTCCAACTCCCAAAATCTCCTACATGTCTACCTGACACCTACGAAAAACTCCTCGCTCCCCATTTAGGTTCCACTCTAGGGCGTGACGTGAGATGTCACTCAACTGTCTCCTCAGTGTGTGCCCATGCCGTTTCCATTTTCGCCTAAATATTTGTTGAGCGGTCGGCTCTTGGTTGGTTTGTTCCCAACCAGCCAGAGTTACTTGTTATTACTCCATTATGGATAAGATTTTGTTTTGATAAATCACACAGTGTTGTACAGTAATATTAACTGATGACGTTTCGAGCACATTTTATTACTGCTCATAATAATAATAATAATGTTAACAGCTTTATTCCAAACAGTATTTGTGGTACAGGTATGGCATTTTCAGCGTGCATTACAATATATGTACTCGCTTCGGCGGTACATATACTAAAATTGGAACGATACAGAGAAGATTAGCATGGCCCCTGCGCAAGTGTGACAAGCAAAATCGTGAAGCGTTCCATATTTTTTGACTTTTAAATATTGCTTTTAAATATTTCACTTCGGGGAGCAACCCACAAGGTCGCTTATCTCTAAACTTTATCTTAATGTAACAATTCCTTTCTCAGGCGTGATGCTAGCAATCCCATCCTGTAAACAAAGTTGCTACATAAACTTCAGCTCAGTGAATCGCTTTGCGCCAAAAGAAAAAGTCTGTGTGGGGACATGGGACGTCCACATCACGTATGAGATTGGCAAAGCTTCTCAGATCGCAAACGAGATGAAAAGATACGGAATCCAAATGCTGGGAATATGTGAAAGCAGATGGAACGGGAATGGACTCACCAAATTGTCAACGGGTGAGTCAGTGATCTACTCCGGTCACCCAGAAGATAACCACACGCACACCAAGGGCGTGGCTATCGTGATATCAACAAAGGCGCTGATGCAATGGGAAGCGATCTCGCCCAGGATAATGACCGCAAGATTCAACTCAAAAGGAAGGAAAGTGTCAATTACACAATGTTATGCACCCACAAACAACGCAGATTTCGAAAAGAAAGAAGAATTCTACAGACAACTACAGGCAACAATGGACAATACTCCAGCTGGCGACATTAAAATACTAATGGGAGACATGAACGCCAAACTGGGACCAGACATCACACAAAGGGAACTCATCATGGGTAGAGAAGCTCTCGGAGAAATGAATGAAAACGGAGAACTCTTCGCCGACTTCTGCGCCTTCAACGAACTAGTGATTGGTGGCAGTGTATACAAGCACAAAGATATCCACAAGGCTACATGGGTGTCACCAGACGGGCAAACCAAAAACCAAATCGACTTCATCTCAATCTCAAGGAAGTGGAGCAGCCAACTGGACACAAAGTAAGAAGAGGAGCAGACGTTGGCTCAGACCACTATCTCGTACAAGGGACAATCCAAATCAAATTAAAAGCTTTCAGAGAAGGAGGAGCTGCAGACAGACCACAAGCAAGTTCAATACTCAAAAACTGAAGGACCATGATACAAATGACATCTTCATTGCAAACAAAAGGGACAAAGCCGAGACACAAATCAACACTAGCGAAAGGTTAGCGTCGAAAAGCACTCGGACAACTTGAAAACGGTGTGGAGTCAAACCTGCATGGAAGTTCTAGGCAGAAAGAAGAGACAGGACAAACAGTGGCTCACTATGGACACTTGGAGACTAATAGAAGAGAGAAGGATGGTGAAACAAAAGATTATTCAGTGCACCGACGAGCAACAAAACAGGAGTTGAATGCAAGCTACAACACGCTGAACAAAATAGTGAAGAAGAGTGGCAGGGGAGACAAAAGAAAATATTATGAGCTATGGCAAGTAAAGCAGAACAAGCTGCAGGCGAAGGAGATCTCGCCACACCTACCAAACAACTAGGAACCTATCGGGCAAAAGTTCGACACAGATTAAGCCAGTGAAGGATGACAGTAGAAAGTCAATCACCAAGGAGGTGGAGCAAAGAAAACACTGGGCTGAACACTTCAAAAGACTTCTAAATCGACCGCCACCTACAACGCGCCCAACAATACCAACAACGGAAGCAGAACTACCAGTGAATATCGACCGCCCGACGAAATCAGAAGTCCTGAATGCCATCAAGATGCTAAAAGCTGGAAAAGCAGCAGGACCAGATGGAATCCCAGCAGAAGCATTGAAAATGGACCAGAGACAACAGCGGACTTGATGACGCCATCGCTGGAGAAGGTGAGGAAAGAAAGAGGGCAAATTACCTGAGGATTGGAAGAAAGGATACTTATTCAAACTACCAAAGAAAAGAGACTTAAGTCAATGCAAAAACTGGCGCGGAATCATGCTCCTGTCCATCCCAAGCAAAATACTAAGCCGAATCATTCTGGAGAGAATCAAACAAGCCAACCTGGATGAAAAACTTCGACCGGAACAGGCTGGATTCAGGAGAAACAAGTCATGTATTGATCAAATGGCCACACTACGGATCATCATTGAACAAAGCTTGGAATGGAAGTCACCTCTCTACCTCACTCAACTTCATCGACTTTGAAAAGGCCTTCGACAGCGTCGATCGACAGGTGATTAGACAACTACTTCGATACTACGGGGTGCCATCGACAATTATACATCTCATCTCATCCAACAGTTATACGACAGTGCTGCATGCCAAGTAATCCACAACTGGAAACTTACGGAAGCCTTCAAAGTGAGGACAGGAGTGAGGCAAGGCTGTCTATTATCGCCAATGATCTTCCTGATTGCAGTAGATTGGATAATGCGACAGACAACGGCCAATGAGGAAACAGGCATGAAATGGACTCACACAAAAAACTTGGAGGATCTGGACTTCGACGATGATATATGTCTGATTTCCCACAAACTGGAAGATATGAAAGTGAAAAGCAACAAGCTGGCAGAGGAAGCATCAAAGATAGGACTTCAAGTGAACATAGATAAAACAGAGGTGATAGTGATCCCTGGCAAACAGCAACAACAATAGATATCAATCAGAATAAGTGGGAGGAACCTACCGACATGGGAAGCATCGTTTCAACTACAGGTGGGTGGAACTGACGAGGACATCAAAGCCAGAATCGGAAAAGCAAGACAAGCTTTCAAGTCTGAGTGGAGGTCAACAGCACTCAACATCAAAAATAAGATCCGGATTTTCAACTCCAATGTGAAGTCAGTCAGTGCTACTATACGGATCAGAGACTTGACCAGTGCGTCATAAAGAGCATCTCAAACAAACTTCAGACCTTCATTAACAGTTGTCTTCGCTCAATACTCAAGATCAGATGGCCGGTCAGAAAAGATCAGCAACAGGGATCTCTGGTAATGAGCGAACCAACCCAGCAGGAACCGATTGTGAAACAAATAGGCAGGAAGAAATCGAGATGGATTGGCCATACTCTGAGGAAACGAACCATCAAGTGACATCACTGGACAAGCCATCGCTCGAGTGGAACCCGAAAGGGAAGCGGTGAATTGGTCGTCAGTGCTATGGTGACTAGGAGGAGGTGATATGAAGAGGAGATGAAAGCATGTGGGCAGACTTGGAGGGGAGTGAAAAAGTTGGCATAAAACCGAAGGCAATGGAGACGCGCAGCTGAAGCCCTATGTTCCTCTAGGAATTAAAGGATATGATAATAATATAATAATTGCAATATATTGCATCTAATTACTTCATAAATTTTATAAGATTTTAAAATCAAAAGGCAACGCCCCAAAAAGGAAGATAAATAAAAGAACAACTTTGGGTTTACATTTCAAACAATGCACCACAGGATATGAAATATAAAGTTAGTGTGTGATAGAAGATGAGAACAACAGTGTAATAGTAACGAGGAAAGGAAAACAAAAACTAATGGGACTATTTGTACGAGTGCCGCAGTAAGTTGATCGTGTCATACCTAACGGATTTCTCATCACATAACAGCTGTGCCAGATATGGTATTGTGGAGTTTTTGTACTTGGTAGTCCTAGCATATAGCCTCGTATAGCTGCTTCTAGTTCTACCAGATGAAATACAAGGAGAGAGCTGCATAGAGGGGATGCTCGGGGTCTGACAATATTGTATTCGCTAGTTTCTTACATGACATTATATGTCTATCCACAATAGTGTTAACCAGTTGGTTTAACGATATCCCACTTGCCCTACTAACGGCTTTTAGTGCCTGCTTTTCTCAGAGAAGCAAAGTCTTTCTTAAGTAGTCCAAGAAAGATTAATGGGGAGCAGTAAAGGGGATGGGTAGAATACAAGAGTTGACAAACTGAGAAAGCAAAGACTGCTTTATGCCAGACTGCCTAAATTTCCTAACGTAGAACGTTAAGCGAAACATCTTTCTGGTAACTAGCAAGATGTGGGAGGACCAGGAAAGATCAGTGGAAAAACTCAGCCCAAGGTACTTGACATTAGATGTATTTTCAACCTCTGTGCCGTCAATGATAGTGGGGCCATGTGAGCTAACTAGTTTTCGTAGGTCACGTTTACGTCTGAAAGTGAAATTGACTACCTGACATTTAGACGGGTTTAGCTTAAGACCGTTTGATGAGGACCACTGACTAATTTCCGACAGAAAGTTATTTAATTTGGGACAATCTGACTGAGAGTTGACAGGCATAGAAACAGAGAGGTCATCAGCATACTTAACAAAAGTGGCTACATCAGAATGAGGCAAGTCATATAAGAAAAAGGAAAACAGAAAGGGAGAAAGAACAGCACCTTGACATACACCAGCTAAAGTAAGTGAGGTAGTGGATTACTTTCCATTGTAGACGGTGTGCTGCTTCCTATCAGAAAAATAGGTGTGCAACCACTTATTTGTCCAGCTCTCAGCTGTGTTGCAGCAATCTTACTTAGCAAGAGAGACCTGGGAACAGAGTCAAATGCAGATGTGTAATCAAGGAAGGCACAGCGAACGTATTTAGCTCCTTTATCTAAACTAGAGACTATACTATGGTGTAGGACAACAGCGGGATCTAAGGTACACCTACTATGTTTATAAGCAAACTGGTTGGGGTCATTGAAAGGCTTTAAAGAGGGTTCAAGATTAAGTAAAATAAGTCTTTCTATAACTTTCAAAAAAGGTGAGGTAATAGCAATAGGTCTAAACTTAACATTAGGTCCACTTGTAGATTTAGGCACTGGAACAATCTTGATATTTTTCCATGAGTCAGGTATAATACTTTTGGAAAACGTTTCGTTGAAAATGTCAGTTAATGGGGAACACAAGATGTCAGCACATGTCTTAAGGATAACAGCAGGAACACCATCAGGACCAAGAGACTGAGTAGGTTTGAGAGATTGAAGACACTTGAGGACATCATTCGTGTTAAAGCATGAGAAGTAGGCATTATTTACACTATTTGAGTTAGGAATCATAACATTTGCTGGGATACATATGAAGGATTTATTAAGCATGCCAACATCTACAGAAATATCATTCAACATTTGCTTACCACCTGTGATTTTCTTTACTAACTTCCACATATTTGATGGGGATTTACATGAAAGAGCATTCAATCCTTGTAATTCAAGTTTAATTAAAGTGCTTATTCTCTTAACACCAGATTTTTTTTCATTTTGAACAACCTTTTTTTTCACGGCGGAGCTTTTTGAGTTGAGAAGAGGAGAAACGGTCGAATTTTAAGAAGATTGTCTCTTTTGGACAACAAACATCAAGACAAAATTTAGATAATGTGTTATGTTGGTAATTGTGTTATCAAGAGCTTGTTCAGTAAATAAGTCCCAGTTTGTGTCTTTTAACATGGTCCTTAGATTTAGTATATTGTCATGAGAATAACATCTGTGTTGTGTTTTCTTTCCAAGGTATGAGAAGACCCTTTTGTGCTGCTTTCCATATACTTTGGGCAATATTCTTCTAATACAGTGATCAGAATTGAGTAGTGGGGCTCTTTTTCGAGCTTCAAATATTCCTGTGTCATTTGTAAACACAAAATCAAGAGTGTTATCCATTCTAGTCGGGAAGTTGACAATGTAATCGTGTCCAAGTGAAATTAGGAAGCTGTGATTACTAGAATTAAAATCTCCAGTAACTATAGACAAGGAATTTCCGAAGGATGTGGCAGCAAGGGAGGTAAATTCATCCGCAAATAAAGACAATTCTGTGGAATTGCATCCAGGAGCAATATAATGTTCGAGATGTAAATGTAGTTGTATTTTGACAAATGTTTAGGTCGACACTTAACGGTGAGGCAGTCAATATTGTCACTAGAGAATTTGAAACATCATCAGTTAATATTACTGTATAACACTGTGTGATTTATCAAAATAAAATCTTATCCATGATGGAGTTATACTCTACCACAGTGCTCAAGTTTTATTACTGGTTAATAATTCTTTCTAGCCTGTGGATCTTCAATGTAGAGAGAAGGCGGTTGTTGATATAAGCCTGTAGTATCCAAGTTTTTGACCCATAAAGGAGAAGCGACTGACGTGAAATTAGTGTTAAAGTTGAGGTAGAGAGAGGTTTGATTTCCATTCTATTCTTTGTTCTGTCGTGGTGACGATGCGTAGAGTTGCAATTTGATGAGCACATGATTTACCTTTCCTGAATCCAGCTTGTTCTGAGTGGTGTTTCGTATCCAGAATATCGTTTACTTTTCCCACGATGATGCAACTTGGTATTTTGCTTGGCGTAGTCATGGGCATTATTCCAAGCTGGTTTTTGCTGACGTCTAAGTCACTAATCCTTTGTATTTTGTCGAAGTATCCTTTCTTTCAATCAATATGCACCTTTCCTCCCTTCCAATCGTTTTGCATTAATGGTGTCCACATATCTGCCGTTTTCACTGCTTCATGAGGAATTTCATCTGGTCTTCAGTAGCTTGATCGCATTCAGGATTTTGGCTTTGTTGAAAGATTGGCGTCTACTACTGGTAGTCAGTTTTGTGCTTGCTATATCTGGGCGAGTTGCAGGTGATGATCGATTCAGGTGTCTTTTGAAGTGATCAGCTCATTGTTTCATTATTATTATTATTTTATTTTTCGGAAATTCAAATTTTGTTGCTCTATGCGTCTTAGTGCAGTAGACTTTTTCACATTCATTTAACCATCCTATTCCCCGCTATTTTTTGTTATTTTTCTTTTGCCTATCTATCTTATTACGTGTAGCTTCGTTGAATAGTAAAGATGATGTAAATATCAGTGTCAACGGGGCCAGTGATACCGATTCAACTGTAATTCAATTCATCGATGAATCTATTGACCCACCTCCATCATCGTCAAATAGTCAGAAGTTTGAAGTCAGTTCAAAGCGTAAACTGCAAAATGCTGAATTCACTGAAAATCATTGTCAAATCAAAAAGGCAAGAGTCGATACCGATGTTGATAATGAACACAACAATTCTTCTGCATTATCGCCTTATGAGATTATACCTACTGTCAACGTAGATTCTGATGATGACGATTTAATCCTTATTGAGTGTGAATAATTATATGAAGAAGGATATACTCGAGATAGATAAGGTGTACTAGCGTGAAAATATAATGATGCATTTAAATCCTTCAGTAGAACTGACCCAGTTCTGCAGACTATTCATCGGAAAATTTTGTTTATTTTATATACTCTCATATGAAAACTGATTTGTGTATTTCTTTGGAAAAGAACACCAAGTTATATTTCTAATTCCCAATAGATTTCATTATATAACTGTTACAGTGCTATATTATGCATATATATATATATAATTCAGTCGTGTTTAGTGATGTATTGTAACAACAGGAGACAAGGGCCAGGCAACAGATCGTTTTATTATGAAAATCAACACGTATTTATACATATTTCACATACATTATTATAGCTTATGCAAGTAGACAAGCGCAGTCATCTGATTGGTTGTTTATCAGAAGTTAGGCAGACAAACGCAGGCTTCTGATTGGTTGTTTCGGGATTCCTCGACAAATAGAGTTCTCTATCTGCGAATCATATTTTGCCACGTTAACTTTGCTGTGATTGGTTGTTGAATCAGCCTTGCTCATATTTTCTCACGACCTGCTCTCACCACAGTGTGTCACTCAGGATTCACAGATTCTTCTGTCTGCCTGTTTGTTAATTCTCTCCAGGCTCTTTACTGCCGGGAATGTTTACCTGAGTTTTGATATTTATCAGCTTGTACTTCCAAAAGCACACGAAGCCTTCCTGAACATCATTCTCCTCTATCCGCATCACCTTCATCATCTTATTCCCCTACTACAGTTAGTACTAGTCTTCAGGTTAGTAGTGAGACACCTCCACTTTACTCTGTGACCACGAACAACAGTGAGAGCCATAGAAAACACCCCAGATAGCCTTTTGAAGCCATACTACCAACTCAAATTATAGGAACATTTAACTTCAGGACTTCAAATTGAAGTATGCGCTGAAGATGTCGCCTAGAAGGGCGATGAAAGCCTTCCATATTAACTCTCCAGCTCAGAGGACATAACCACATCAAAAAACATCAGGACCCTCTGCCAAATCGGACAACAGGCGTCACTGGCAAGAACTCTCGCATCTCGGGCTGACCTACTCGCTCAACAAGGTGAATCTACAAAATTCACTTTAAGGAGACCAGGAGACCCCTCAGATAGCTCGCGAGGACTCGCAGGTGTAGGGATAGCACTGAGTGTTAGGGCAGAAAAATCACTTCTTGACTGGATCCCAGTAGTTGGTTGTGTCTGTGCGGTGCGTGTGGACGCGTCCGTCAGAAGAAGGAAGGACCGCGTTACCCATCGTTGTCTTTTCATAGTCTTCGCTTACGCCCCCGATAGACTGCAGTTCGAATGAACTAAAGGATGACTTCCACTAGAAACTGTCTAATTTGCTGCCAGGCGACTTCAATGCCCAAGTATGGAAATTGTGCCAGACTGAGAAGCATATAGGTGGTACGTATTGAGTTCCCTGCCGACAAACCGAAAACGGTGATCGTCTTCTATCGTTCTGTTCAGATAATCATCTGTTCCTAGTCAGCACTAACTTTAGGGACAAAGAGAGACACTGCGAAACCCGGCGACCTCCATCACCGAATCAACGCTGGACTCAAGTAGACCACATAGCGATAGGGCATCGTTGGCGAAGGTTGGCAGACGACTTCCGCTCCTTCTGCAACACTTGAGTAGACTCCGATCACGCTCTGGCTCGCGAACGTTTATGCTTACGTCTAAACGGACGTAGAAAATTGTTGGCAGTCAAGCAGTTACGTCCCCGACTAGATCAAGACACTGAGACCCTATTCAAAGAAGAAATGGCGAGACCAGTATCTGTGGTCGACAGCAAGACTCCTCCTGAGGAAGTCTGGCTGGCGGAACATACAATTAGCTGTATACACAACTGTAAAGGCTGTTGATTATAAGCTAAAACCAAAAGTTAGTGAGAGCCAGAGGATCTCTACCGCCTCATCCGAACTGATTGACGCAAGAAGACTGATTCCAGCGAGTTCTGAATATGATGAGGAGCGAAAGCTTCTCAAACGTAAACTTCCAAGAAGTCTTCGCAACGACCGTGAACAGTGGTGGGCGACAAGAGCGCAAGGGATGTAAAAGATATCGGCGATAAGTAACACCTGACAACTATTTATACTTATTAGGGAAACAGGTGGCAAAATGCAAGTGATAAGTGAAACAATCTCCGAGAGAAATGGCATTATCATTAGCTGTCAAGATAGATGGCTCGAAGATTGGAAAGAACACTTTGAGGAGTAATTTAACTGGCCTACTGCGTTCTATTTCCCGTGTAAAGTGGCACAATAAGGTGAGCAACTTGGAGGTTAGGCGTAGAGTTCTAGGTAAACAGGGGAAATCAATCGACGAAGTCGTGAAGCTACAAAGACTGAGATGGTTAGGACATGTGTTACGTATGCCAAGCCATCGCCTCCCTCGACGAGCAATGTTAGCGGATATAGGGTCAGGCTGGGAAAAAGCTAGCGGCGGTCAAACAAAAACTTGGCATCAGTCAATGAAATCCACAACAGTTGGTCTAAGCCACGTAGAAAGGTGTAGACTTCCAGGCTGGGGTCCTCGGGACGGTAAAAATCTATGGCTGGAAACAATTGGTGACATGGCTCAAAACCGTTCTCAGTGGCGCAGATGCATCCACTCCCTGTGACTTATGATCTTCAATGAAACTGTTTTGTATTTCTTTATTACTCCTTTGTCTCACACCTCTGCTCACTGTTTCTATTATGCTTTTCTTGTACTTTCTTCTCTTGCTTCGCGTGCTACACGGAATGTGGCGACTTGAACTTCCGCACATTTGTGCAAAGTTCTATGTCGAAAACAGACAGAACGGACTGCCAAACACAAATTAACCGGCATCCAACATTTCTCTGAACGTGATATAGACACAGGCCTTCTATCCCTAACTGAGGTTACGAAAGCTGTGACATCAAATCAAGTCAGAGAGGAGGCAGGGGTGGACAAACCAAAATACGGCATCAGTCAATGAAATCCCAATAAACCAATACTCGTGTAACAACGAGATGCTCACTAGTGACTGGCCGTATTTAGGTAGGTGTTTATCTGGAGTTCTGATGGGAAGTCGTGACCAGTAGGGCCGAGCAGGTCGGTTGTCAGGAAAAATACTCACCATGGATGACATCGGCTAGTGGTCGCGCTATGTCGTGAATTGACAGAAGTTGGAATTCAAGGGCCATTAGATCGGGTCCCAGTGGCTTAATAGTCTACGATCTCACCTGGTAACCAGGAGGTGGAGAGTACTGATTGAGAGTCCCAAACTACTGCAAAACAGCTGCCCAGTACCACCAGGTTTTCCAGTGGTTCTCTAACTGATATCAGCTCATGATGAAATCCTGAAATCCATAACAGCTAGTTTAAACCAGCCACGTGGGGAAGTGTAAACGTTTTGGTTGGTTGGTGAAAACCAATGAAGGCTGGAGAATATTGGTGATATGACTCAGAATTGTTCTCATGGCGCGGATTCACTCCTTGTGATTTATCATATCCAATAAAACTCTATTTTCCTTCCATATTACCATTCTTTTTGCCTCGTATTTCCGTTTACCATCTCTTATCTGTATTTCTCTTTACTCTCTTCTCATCGGTGTCGACGTATTTCTGAGATGAATCAGTATACGATTTGGTGACGCGACACAGATTCTTTGAGTTGGAGGTAATTTTGTCGGTCTGAATCGACATGGACAATAACCTGTTTCGAGACACTTGTTACAGAATTTAATCCGCTAAACTCCTCTCGATTTTCTGCAACGCAACGTTACTGAGTGATTCATTGACTTGGTTGACTTTCGAGGGAGAAGTCGTACGATGTGATTACAAGTGGATGTGTCAAAAGACGATGTAACAACAGACTTCGAAAACAAAGTAAACAGGCATGTCGAAGAACTGCATAAAATAGGACTAATCAACAACAGTACCCAGAGTGACCTCAAATCAAAGGGTTCACGCCTACCGTTAATGCATGATCTGCCCAAAGTCCACAAGCCTGATGCGCCATTGAGACCTATAATGTCAGTGATGAAGTCATCATGACATAAACTGGCTAGGTGGTTGATACAAATGTTGGAACCAATTTGACAAAAGCTGGCAGTCCACAGTATGAAGGGTTCCTTCCAATTCTCATAAGAGTTAGACCAAGTGAATATCTTGGTCAAACTCCTCGTATCATACGATGTTTGTTCACTATTTACTAGCATACCTATTGAATAAACAGTGAGAATCATATGTCGGCAATCCGAAATACTTTCCTTTCCTGAAAAGGAGCTACGAAAATCACTACTTCTTTGTACAAAGAATGCTCAGTTATGATTCAACAACCAGCCGTATCGGCAAATTGACGGGGTGGTGATGGGTTCACTTTTAAGTCCTCTTATTACGGGCATGCTCATGGCTCATCTTGAGCAGACATGAGTAAAGCCGGAAATAGAGAGAACCACCTATTACTGCAGGAATATATATTTATATATATAGTTACACCTTAAACACCAAGTAATTGTCCACTTACATCATCCTTGAAACAATCTTGCTTATACTTTCTATCTATAACTTGAAGTTGCTGTAAAAAGTATGTTCAGAAATTTTGTAACATATAACTGATTTATTTAGAATGTACGCAGTAGAAGAGAACCCATGAAATAAAAGGAGCTCTTATTGTCCCGCAAATATGTTCGTTCTTTCTTAGTGAAAAATTGTTTTAACATGCGAGTACTTTTGAATTGGGGAGTTCGATTGATTACTGGTATGGTTGGCTGACGCTTTGTTTGGCTCATTCCAATGATTTCTTATGTGTTGATGAGATAAAGTAGGTGGGTTCGTCTATTTGACGAGAAAAATGAAAAGAACTAATTGAATCAGTTTTGTAGAAAAATGAGAAAACAGTGGACAAAAATTGACAACAGTGGTTGGGTTGAATCCTCCCTCGTATTTCAAAATGCATTTCCACATTAGATTTGTGATTACCTTACTAAACGCACTTTTCCTTTAAGGAAGGAGATAGGAGGTAATTTTGTCAACATAGTGTGAAGCTGAATCACTCTGAGGTAGGTAGTTGTCAATACATTAAGTTTGTAAACTTATATATATTAGAGTTAAGCCTGATGAGATCTAATTGAAGACAATATTGTTCGCTTAAATGTGTTGTTCTAAATACATTAAGTGGCATTGTTCAGATGTTTTAGTCACCTCTAGAAATGGTTACCAGAAGTTTACAAAACCAATCAGTTTTAATTTACAACACTTAGTTTTACGTAGTGCTGTAACTTTGTCCTTAGTACAGTACAATCAGGCCTTGAGTAGGCCCTGATTATATTAATCAGGCTGTGAATATGCGGTGTTCGTCTCAGAAAATTGCTTCTTCACCTTGTTACAACGTTGATTAAAATTAAATCTTCAGATGACACTAATTAATTAGGAACTCAATGTGATGAACAGCTCACTCACTGACGACTGGCTGAAGACGATGAATATAACGAAAGGTCTAAACTCATAAGCCAGCAACAGCTTTAGTTATACCTAACAGTAATTAGAGGCATAACA